AGCATCATGGGCCATTCCCATTTCTAAGGAGCACTCTGGCCTTACTTCTCCCAGGACTGGCGTGTCTGATCTTCAGGCAGCCTGTAGGGCTTTCAGTGTGCATCAGCAACAGTGTCACTCTAGGGCATGAAGTCTCTGGTCCCTGCCCAGCATTCACGTGCATAGGAGGTGCTTGAGAGTGCCCTGGCCTGGGTGAGCTGCACCTTGGTCCTCCAAGTGGCTTGTAACCCTTTAAAGGTCCTACACCGCTAACCCCGCTCGTGCTGTTGAAGCGGCGTGGTGCAGCAGGCTGGGTGGTGGAGCTCTTGACGGCTGTCTCCATGGGATCCAAGGGAAATACAGTCCTTGGCTGCTCCGGTCTCCTCTCCCCGTTTCACGATGGTGCTGCTTGGTGCAGTTGGAGGACTGCTCTGTTACTTTCCCTATGCAGAGGGGTAGACCGCCCGAGGCGCTCACCTTTGACCTTCATCAGTGCTTCCAGCCCTCTTGGCTTTCAGCAGGCAAGGCGCTGTCATCTATGTCCCAGGCTTCTCGGGAGCCCCCGTCCCATCCTGGCACTGCGTCCTTCCCACAGCCCAGCCCTCCGATGATCTTCTGAGCGTCCAGACTGGACACGTAGGCAGAAAGGATACAACCCCGACACACACCTTTTCCTAAGTCTAAACCATTCATGTCCCCTCGTTCTGGCCAAACGACCGACCGCTTCTTGGTCAGTGTAAGGGTCCCACCAGAGCACAACGGAGTGAGGATTCTGGAAGTCTCCGTTGTTATCCATCATTTGTTGTGACCCGCACAGCACAGGCCAGCAATAGGGGATGTGGCTGCTGTCAGGTGAGGGTACCTGTGTGTCAGACACGTGGCAGAGACAGCTGGGAGGTTGCCGTTGCTGGGGGAGGGGTACATTCTCCTGAATCCCCTCATGCACACACCCTCTCCCTCCCCAGCTGGCCCCCGAGCACACGCTGATGTCCTTCCAGAAGGCCATGGAGCAGAAGCTGTTTGGGCTCCAGGCTGATGTCACCATCAGGTAGCGTGAGGGAGAGAGGGCAACCCCTCCTCTCCTCCCTCCACATCTGGGACTCTGCAGGTGGAACCTCCCGCCTCAGAGAGGTGGGTGGGGGCTTGGAATTTTCAGGGCGGGACAGACCTCCAGCTTTTGAGGCGCAGCCGTTCTCACATGACTCTGTGCCAAGCCTCCCTCCCGCGATGAGACACAGAACGGCTGGCACATTGGTTCCAGCGGGGGGTGGGATGGAGCGGGGACGGGACCTATACAGCTGGGCTCAGCTCGGCTCAGCTCCGTGGTGCTCCCTCTGCATTATGCAATTGTGTAGGTTGTGCACTGAGTAAGTGCAGACACTTCTCAGGACCCCACAGACCGGTGTCCGTAGCCCAGGTCCTAGCAGGTGGAGGTACGACGCCATGAGGCAGGGCCAAGCTCTTCCTCGTGAGCTGCTGGTAGCCAGGGAGGCAGGAGTGTGGGAGGGGATTCTCAAAGGGGTCTGTGTTGGCACTGTTCTCATGGTGTCAGATGGACTTGGTGCCAAACCAGGGGTACCTCTGACTGACCATGGGCCTTGAACTAGCTTCCCTTCTCAGCCTCAGTTTCCCCGCCATGCAGTGAGGTCACACCTCCCTCCTGAGGCCGCTAAATGGTCCTGGCCTTGCTCCATCCCTCCCTCTTGGCACCCTGTCTGAATCTCCTTGAGAGGCGGCCAGCAGACAGGGTCCTCCCTGGGCAGCAGGGCACTGGAACTGCCCTGGTGAGGGGGAGTTGTGACTACCTGAGGCCCCCTCCCACAGCCTGGACGGTGTGCCCTTCTTGCTGCATGACACCACCCTGAGACGCACCACCAATGTGGA